GCCAATCTGCAGTTAACCTTATGGCGGGCATACATGCTACGGTCTGTCTGTGCAGGTGTGCCTGCACAGGTAGACATGCACGCTACGACATGAAGCCGACATGCGCAAGCACACCTGCACAGGTAGACCCGGTAGACCTCTCCGGTAGACCGTTACGTGTATGCTTGCCATTAGAAAAAGCCTACTCAGAAGTTGTCCCTATTAACGTAAAGAAGATAAACACTATAAAGATACTTTTATTTTACTTTAGTGATGAAATCCTAGAGTTTTGCTAATATATATATATATTTCTTGGAAAGTCAAAAATGAAGATTCTAATTCAAAAATTACAAATATGTTTGTTAAATAATAATTAATAAAGCTACAAAAAAAATGTTAAGTATTTTTTTTTTAAATTGAGTGAAAGAACAGTATAACTGCAAGTCATTTTTTTCAAATAAATTTTTTTCCATAATTTTAGTTTTAAATTTATGTACGTATTATTATCGGTTGATAAAAATTCTATAACTTCACAATACATAATTAGGCCGAATAACCCATAGTTCTTTTTTAAAACAGTTTTTTTTGTTTTTCTCAAAATGGTCATTTTGGATATGTATTGTTCTTTCACTCACCGATTCAATTTAAATTTTCATGTTTCTAACTTTAAAGAACAAAGAGTTTCATTAAAAGCTCCTCCCTCCCTCATTTCTTTCCTTTAAAGTTAAAATTTCCAAAAATCCTTTTTTAGCGGATGCTTACGTTATAAAATAAACCTATGTTCCAAATTTCAGCTTTCTAGGCTCAGTAGTTTTGGCTGTACGTTGATAGGTCAGTCAGTCAGGACAAACTATTTTATTTAGATATAAATAGATTAATTGAAAATTCGAAAATAAAAAATCCTAAATACTCAAAACCGTTAGTCTTTTTCTTTTTTGGTCTATTTGGGCTCAATCCCTTTGGAATCTTTGAACGTGATTTTCACCCCCTTCAAAACGTCGGATTGATTTGAAACTTTGCACACTTATCAAGGACTGATGACAGTGCAATAATTTAAATAGTTTGTCCTATTATCCTGATCAGGACCTTCAGGATTAGCGATTTTGCAAATGCGATACCGTATGTTATCCCTGTGTTAAATTTTGATCAAATGTTATTCAATGTTAGGGGTTAAGGAGAGGGGGTGCATTGTTTACCATCTCTTTCGATCCTTTATTCATCCATGTTCTTATTATAATGATTAGTCCCAATAAAAACCCAGCTCAAGTTCGCTTTAGATGCAGTTGGTTAGTTATCCCTGTTGTAACTTTTTTTTAGAAATATTAAACGGTTTCGCCGATATCACAGAGGTTGTATAAAATGGGGGAAATCGGCGAAATCGTCTGTCTATTTTTATGTATGAGAGTATTAAAATAATAAAGCGTTTGTAATCCATAGGCGTAGCACTTCTTTTAGTAGACAGTTAAAATATTTTTTGAAGTTATTCCTCGAGTATACACTTATATTTTCACCTAATTATCCTGCTTATAACTTCTAAACAGCTGAAGGTAAAAAAGTGCAATTTTTCTAAAATGTTTTATTTTTCCACAAGGTATGTTAAGAACATTGTGTCAAACAGGTTATGTATGTATAAGGGTTTAAAATTTGACTTTTAAACAACGTTACGTTCATAAATAATAATTTTAATATAAAAACTACTTCTTACCTACAAATCCAAATCAGAATCGAAATCGGAAGATGAACTGTCGCAACCAATATTTACAATGAGTGGCTCGATCATTTCATCAGTAATATTGTCCAACTTCCACATTTTCTCTTCTTCTTTAATCGTATGATTTACTGCCTTTTCCCAGTTTTCAGGCTTCACATTTTTTACAGCCTCCAAAAACAACTGTTTAACATCACTCATTTTAAAAGAATTATTTTTTCTTGAAACTTCTCCCTTTATCTGTGCCCATATCAGTTCAATCGGGTTTACTTCGCAATGATATGGTGGTGATCTAACCACCGTCATCCCACGATTTTTTGCAATTTCATCAATTTCATATTTTTTGAATTTCTCTTTATGAAGGGTACACAAATGATACTGTTCTTTTCTCACAGAACCGGGATGGAACTTAATATTCTTTGAATTTAGCCAATGCTCTAAATCTTTTTTTAACCACTTGGTTGTGGGCATTTTTTCTATAAGTCTCGAGGATAACTTGCATAATCTCTTTAAAGACATCAGCATTCATGTCCTCGTGGTAGTCACCGGTACGAGTAGATTCAAAAGTCAATAAACCACCTTTAACAAAACCGTTTGAACTACCGATGTGTACTATTATTAGTCTGCGCCCCTTTCCTGATGGTGGATTTAAACCAGTATATAAATTATTTAAAAAAACCCGTCTTCGACACTAGAATTCACACTGCACCTTGCAAGTTGCAACTAAACGACATTTAGTAAACTGTCAAGAATACACAACTTGGACCTCCTTACTAAATGGAAAACCTATAATCGCATTTTCAGTGAAATTTGTTGGGAAGGTATTTATCTACTTATAATTCGATTACTGTAAGAAATTCTTGGAATTAAAATAAAACAAAATTGGCAAATAGGTACTTATTGAAAATAATCTTAAGATACGGCTATGTAATCTTTAATACACAGGGCTTTTGGCCTGTCCAAACCTTTTTCTATTCTTCTGTACAGCTTATGTTTATAAAGGACCAATAAAAGACCCAAAACTTGTAATAGCTCGAGTACATTTATTACAATTTTAGGAAATATTTAGATTATTCTGTAAAAATATTTAAAATGACCGTGCTAAGTTTTGCATTAGAAATGCTGTTTTATTACTCTCTCATACATAAAAATAGACTATAATATTAAGGTTAATTTCAGCGAAATCGCCGAAATCGTATGAATTTTAGGTGATTCCCGAAATACGGACGCGTTTTGACCTTAGTGTGTTTTACGACTCTGTTTTCCATAAACAATTTCAAAAAAAGTTAAGCACGAAAACCTCAATTCAATTCAAACAAAACTCAATATATGGATAAATATATACGGACGGAGGTATATTTGTATAAATAAATTGAATAAAAAGTTTGTAGAATAGTTGTTGGAAATCCCCAACACGGTATTCCCAACAGGAATTATAATAATAAGAAAGATCTTTATCAAATAAATATCCTACCTAAATTAAATATTCAGCATTTCAAAATCATAAACTTTACAATCATAAACATCAATTTGCAAGTTTAGGAAAAATAAATTGTTAATACGTAAAGGGTAATAAACTTTAGAACCCAAAGGGTGTAATTTTTATAATTTCGTAAGGGGAATTAGGGATTTTTCTCTTGTTATTTCCAAAAATTGCAATATAACATATATAATTGATAATTCTTTTATATTCCAGTAATTTAGTAACACAAAACATGTCAAAAGTCAGAAATGGGTTTTTTACACATACTTTGATTTTATTTTACTATACGGAGAATGGTCGCACTGCGCAGCTTTCTGAGTGCCTTTTAAAAGGAGATATAAAACTCCGCCATTTTGAACCCTTATTACGTATGGCCTACATCTTGGCGCAATATTTTTAATAGTTGCGTTTTAATCATCCGCTTCTGCTTCGGAATTGTCGGTTTTCTTGTTTTAATTTGACAAGTTAAAACGACTAAACCGACAATTCCGGAAGCAGAAGCGGATGATTAAAACGCACCTGATATTTTGCTTGCGGCTGTCAGTGTCAGTGTCAGTGAATATTATTTTTTGAGTCACAGATTATTGCTAAAGAATCAGTTAGCTCACTCGGACCAGTTTAAAGTTTCAAAATAAGATCCACTCCAGGGATACAAATTTAGGATACGCAGAAGACAGCTGTTTTATTATAGGCGGTTGTTATATATTGTATTATCCGAGTTGCGCAGTGTATAAACTGGAACATTGAGATCAAAAGTGCCGACGCAGAGTGAGCGATCTGATTCTTTAGCTATAAACTGTTGCATAGGGTTCAAAATGGCCGGGCCCTATGTTGGGCGTGTCGGACCTCTCTCTTGCGCCGTATAGTAAAGAAAATCAAAGTATGTGGTTTTTTAACAGATTGGTAGCACTCATTTCAGCCATTTTCCCCCCAAATCGCATTATGACTTGCAACAATACATTTTCAGTCCAACGCTATTTGCAATACAAATTGTCGCAATTTTACTTGCAAACCAGGAACGCTGTGAGTTGTAAAGTGATCTGTAAGAGCATATTAGCAGCATTACAAGTGATTAAAAAATAACCTTATTTAGACAACTTGAGACAATATTAAGTAGTTCCCTTTTCTATCCTACTTCTGAACATATAAAACTTAGATAAAAGAAACAATAGATGATGCATTTCATTCATAAAGTATGTTTTGTTTGGTCCCAATCAATGGAAAAGAGAAAAAAAATTTATGCGGATTGAAAGAAGACAGATTGTAATCCAAGATCTCGTCTGGCAACGCTGCTGTTACACGCAACTAAAAGTCTGTCGATATCAGTGGCGTATCTTATTAAAGATAAAATCATAACAAATTAAAAAATAATGAAATACTAACCTATATGGTGTGCAATAAACTTTATAATGGTTTAAACTTTAAAACCGCTTGGATTTGGAATAAGGGTATGAAGTTGAGTGAAATCTAGGTGAAAAACTTAAAAAGCACTATTTTTTTCCAAGAATAATACAATTTTTATTGCATATAAAGATGTTAAATACGAAATAGCTACGCGCTACGTTTCTTTGCAATGTCCAGGTTTTAAAGGTAAATAGAGGCGCTTTGATATAAAAGGTCAATAAAAATAAAAATTAGAATGCTAGTCCTAATTGGATAGAGTAGGGAATGTAGAAAGGCAACTAGAGGATAGTGGGGACAATGAAGCTATACCATCCTTTATTACTTTAACTTTGCCTCATACTAGAATATTAATAGCAATATTAATATTTTGGAAAAAATAGCTAATCACCATTACTACTTTTTAATTTATAATTTTTTTTTTTTCAGATTAAGATGTGGATTTCATTCATGATTCCAAAAATCGAAGATGGTAATAATTTTGGTGTTTCTATTCAAGAAGACACGTTGGCAGAAGTGCAGTCCGTTGAATCAGAAGCAGCTGCATTTTTTGATCAAATTTCACGGTACTATATCTCTAGAGGTTAGTTTTTATTTTTTAATTTAAATCTACCTTTTTAATTGATATTTCGTCGTTGAAATTACAATAGGAACTTTGTCACGAAAAAATAATTTTACACGATTATAAAATGCTAATAAGTACTACATGATAATTCCTACACAGATTATATTGCCAGATATTATAAATAAATTTTTGGTATGGAATACTGACAATACGTATTGCAATACATGGAATACCGTTGTATGCATACTTAAAACAATAAAGTAGTGAATTGATGAATTTTTTGACATAGGACACCTTCCAGTATCAAGGACGATTTGCTTCATTCAGAAACATAATATTAAATTTAGTTTAATATTAAAATTGTTTTGGTGTCTTAATATTGTTAGTACAGTATGGTATTTCGGGCTGGGCAGGCCATTCAAAAAATTTAGATGTAATTCAAAAATGTTTCTTAAAAATAATATATAACTTCTCTGACAGAAAACCTTTTCCAATAGTTTAAGGGACTGTGGGAGATCGACCTTCACCCATCTGATAACCAAATGAGGCATATTTTTTATGAAATTTATTAAATTATGAACACGTCTATAGGAACTTGCCATCCGAAAAGTGTTCATGGCTATTTTTAATTAAATAAATTTTAATCAATTTTTTTTTATAACCTTCACTTTTCTGATAACAGAACAAATTTAATTTTAACAGATAATTTTTAACATGAAGAATATGCCTCGGTAGGCTTGTTTACTTATTTCTGTTCATGGCTACCTGGCAATCAGGTATAAACAGGTAAGTCAATATTGGTAACTACACCGATATGTCAACCAATAACAATTGATATCAGAAGAGAGATAATTTAATTACGAAAATAATCGTATAGGCTTGCCTGCAAAAAACTGTTCATGGAATACTAATGCCATGCTTTAAAGTTTTAAAATCGGAGCAATTAAATATATGCGAGAGAGAAAGTAAAACGTGCGAAGTGCGTGTGGCAGTACAGGACATAATAGCAGCTGCGCGCGACATGTCCGTTGAATGAGATTGACAGAGACAGTGCTTATTTGTTGTTGAAAATTATTTTGGAGCGGCTGCCAATAAACTTTATTTCGATTTTAATTATTATATTACTATAAAATACCTATACTTATAGGTATATAATAATCATAAAAAATAAATAATTAAATAAATTACTAAATAAAAAAAATACATATTTGAAAAAATATTCTTTTTATCTAAAAGTTAAGTAAAAAAATGTTAATATAATAACGGGAAAAAATAAATGTATGTTAGAAGGTAAACAAATTTTTGTGATTACTAATTGTAGTATAATGTAGAGAACATCGGCAGTCAAGAGCGGGGAGTGCGGGGAACTATTGCGGTAGCAAAGTACCGCCGGCATTTCTCCAGGCAGAACGATTTGAGTCGCCTTGAGTGTCTAATGTGATCAGCTGTGGTTGTTGGCTGATTCTCATGCATTGTGTTCTCTAAAATTGTGTTCTATCGGTAATCATTTGGTAATTAAATGATTATTTAAGTTGATAATTAATAAAATCTAACATGTAGAAAAATAATATTCAATACATTTATGGTATCAAAAGCGTTTATTACAGAGCAAACGAAATACACAGAAAAATAATATAAAATTCGTAATTATTCAAAATCTGAATCATCTGAAGCTACATTAAGATCTTTAGACTCTAATAATTCTTCATTTACATTTTCCGTCATTTACACGATCTCAGTTATCTTCAAAGGTGTTTGGTCCCCTACAAATCCAATTGGTTTTAAATAATTATTTTCTAAAAGCCAACCACAGTTTTCAGGGCGCAATTTTATACAAATTTACAGACAATTTTTTTTTAATTTTTAAATAATCAAAAGTTTTAGAAAAAAAAAAATATTCACAAAAAGGTTGCTAACTTAAGATTTTGATTTAAAATAAATTTTCACTTATTTCATGATTTTTTTTAAAAAAAATTTCAAATTCTTTATATTTACTATTTAAAACTGTAACTTTATTATAACACTTGGAGTGATTCTTTGGTTAGCTGGATACTTCCATATTTGAAGTTTTGCTTTTTACGGAAAGCCAATTTTAAAGAACATATTCGAAATATATTAACATCAAAATCCAGAAGAGATTTTTTAGGACCACGTAAAAAACACTTTTATTCATGTTTTACTATTTTATTTTTATTTCCCAATTACAAATAATACTCAGCACGTGTTGTCACAAAATAATTATCAACAACAAATAAACACTGTCTCTGTCAATCGCATGTAAAAGAGCATGCGCGTTGGGTTACATTCAACGGATGTCGCACGGAACTGCTATGTTGTGTCCTGTTCTATCACACGGACTTCGCACTTTTAAAACTTTAAAGCATGGCATTAGTATTCCATGAACAATTTTTTACAGGCAAGCCTATACGATTATTTTCGTAATTAAATTATATCTCTCATGATATCAATTTTTATTGGTTGACATTCCGGTGTATTTACCTATACTGAATTATCTGTTCATACCTGCTTGCCAGGTAGCCATAAACAGAAATAAGTAAACAAGCCTACCGAGTCATATTCTCCATGTTAAAAGCTATCTGTTAAAATTAAATTTCTTCGGTTATCAGAAAAGTGAAGGTTATAAAGAAAATTGATTACAATTTATTTAATTAAAAATAGCCATGAACACTTTTCGAATGGCAAGTTCCCATAGACGTGTCAATAAATCAATAAAATTTCGTAAAAAATATGTCATCTGGTTATCAGATGAGTGAAGGTCGATCTCCCACGGTCTCCTCTACTACAAGAAACTAGTATATTTAGCTTACGAAAATTATATTTCTATAGAATGCTGTGTCTACAACAAAAAATAAGCAAAACCTAACATTAATCTCCCACATACATAATACTAGGTACAAAAAAAACGGAATTTGAAACCGAAAAAGCCACGAAATCAATTGGTCAAAAAGCATTTTATTATATTGCACCACGTATTTCTTTAAAAAATCCACATTTTATTGAAATTTTAAATTAATTCGAATATAAAAAAAAAAAATAAAAATTTGGTTCCAACAACTATCAGAAAATGATATTCAAAATGTGTATACAATTTCTAAGTAGAGTATTAATGATGATCCAATCTAATTCTTCTAAATATCTATAGATTGAAAAAATATTTATGATTTAATTCTTACCTTTTTTATTATCTATACAGGGTGTCCAGGAAAATGTGGGAGGTCTCTCAGATTCATTTAATTAAAAAATAAGATGACAAGTTCCCATATTTTTTTTCATAGCGGCCCTCCCTACGGAAATACGGCCTCTAAAAGGACACCACTGGAAATCAATTTTTCTTGAATAACTTTCAAACTACGTAATATATTTTAATGAAAATTTAATATGATAAACAGTAGTATGAACCTCTTAAAGTACTGCCCTTAAAACATAATTAGCTTGTTTGGGCGGACTAGGTTGTACATTTTAATGCTTACATTTTTGAAACCCTGTATGATAGAGGTTAAAAAAATAAATTTCGATACCTTGAACATTAACCCTTAACTGTTCCGGCGTCGTCTGACTACGTCATATAAACAATTCTTTCTTATTGGTTATTGAGACCGCGGAAATAAGTTCAAGCGTAGTCTGTCAGACGACGCCGGACCGTTAGTGCTACTTATTTGCCTGTCGCCCTGTCGCTGATTTCAAGAACTATAGCCGGACCATCAAAACGGGTGCGTTGGAGTGATCGCTTATGTCAATAGTAAAAAAGCGTAGAATGACCAAATGCCTGTACCTAGCATTGTTCCTTATCACATCACAATGAAATGTGATTCTCTGTAAAAGTTCCTCCCTAGTATCAACGGGAGAGGAATGCACCAAGGTTTTGAGATGACCCCACAGGTAAAAATCCATTGGCGTTAGGTCGGGAGACCGTGGAGGCCAGGCAATTGGAACTCCTCTGCCTATCCAACGGTTTCGATAGACCTTATTCAGGTGGTCCCGTACACCGACGCTAAAGTGGGGTGGGGCTCCATCATGCATAAAATACATACTTCGGCGGTTTTCAAGTGGCAAATGCTCTATTGAATCCAGAAAAGCGTTCTAAAGGAACTGTAAATAAAGTTCACCATTCAGTCGTGGCGGCAATACGCATGGTCCAATCAAAAAATTGCCGATTATTCCTGCCCAAATATTAATTGATTGGAACTGATGTTGATAATGAACAATAGTGGCATGAGGGTTTTCATCAGCCCATACATGTGAGTTATGTAAATTTACAATACCATTTTTGGTAAACCCTGCTTCATCGGTAAAAAATAGTGCTAATGAAGTTTCCGTTTGTTCGTTGTTGATCTAACAGCCAGTTTGCGAACTGGATTCTTCTAGGAAAATCTTCAGGAAGTTGTTGATGCACTTTTTGCAGATGATACGGATATAACAACTGTTCTTTAAGTACTTCAGCAATTGTCGTTTTTGACACATGAAGCTGCGAGGCTACTCTTCGAGTGCTTATTGAAGGATTATCAGCTACAGTATCCAAAATATTTTCCTCCAATTGCACCGTACGTTTTTGTCACACCAGCATCAGTACTTGTTTTCCTAAAAATTATTAGAGAAAGTTAATAATGGTTACCTTATTAACTGGGAATCGCCCACCAGTCTCTCTTAGACGTTGGTCAAGTCGCTGAAATGTTTTCTCATTTGGAATATTGCGATTAGGATATCTTTCTTCATTCATACAACCTTTTTTCTTCATAATTTCAACAATGTGTCAACAAGATTTAAAATGCACACGTCAATGCAATTATTCATTTATTTATTTCGTAGGTACCATAGTAACGTTTGTAAAAACAGTGCGATTTTTAATACTGATAACTGTTCTATTTCAATGACTTTTGTAGCACACTTTGCTGTAGACAAAAAAATTGGAAGTCATGGTTTCTTTTTAATAAAAATAAAATATTCTATTATTTTGTTTTTCTCGTAAACGGTTCATTTTATCGACAATGAAGAAGAGTACCTTTTCTTTAGCTTAATGTTCAAGGTATCGAAATTTATTTTCTTTAGCTTCTTATCATACAGGGTGTTAAAAATGTAAGCATTAAAATGTACAACCTAAACTAAACAAGCTAATTATGTTTTAAGGGCAGTATTTTAAGAGGTTCTTACTACTGTTTATCATATTAAATTTTTATTAAATTGAATTGGTGAGTTCGAAACCCATACAAGTCCAAAATTTGACATTTTAAAGTAAGATAGCCGTTTTGTTTAAAATTTGTCTCTATATCGATTGAGCTTAAAAGCCGTACTAGATACCTAGCCGTTAACGTAGTACAGCTGATTACACCCGTGAAATTAGGCGAAAAACCGTACATATTCGTGACTCGTTAAAAGGTTTTTATTGTTTTTCTCGGAAGGTTGATTTTGCACATGTACGGTTTTCGAACTCACCGATTCAAGTATATTACGTAGTTTGAAAGTTATTCAAGAAACATTGATTTCCAGTGGCGTCCTTTTGGAGGCCGTATCTCCGTAGGGAGGGCCGCTAGGAAAAAAATTATGGGAACTTGTCATCTTATTTTTTAATGTTCTATCTGAATCCGAGAGACCTCCCATATTTTCCCGGACATCCTGTATATCCATGAAATTTTGAAACAAAATAATTATTGTAAAGATACTAGACTTTTTTATTTTTAATACTTATGTGTTTTAACATTCTTTTTTTTAAGTTACCAATATAGAATAAAATTATACTAAACATATTTATTAAAATAATAACAGAATATTTATTCCAACAAAAAGTTGTTTCATGGGCAATGTATTTTTTTGGCTGTTTATTGAGTTAATATTTAATATCTAGAATTAATAAATTATATATTGTATTATATTTAAAAAAAAAATTCAAACATTATTTGTATTGTATGGTAGATAGATAAATATTAATATTTTTATTATTGTATTGTCTTATGTTTTAATACTTTATATTTTTAGGAAAACTGATATCAAAAGTAGCAAAATATCCTCACATAGAAGATTACCGAAGATCAGTACAAGAATTAGATGAAAAAGAGTACCTGAGTCTATGGCTTGTGATGTCTGAAATAAGAAACCGTTATTGTGCATTACATGATATTGTTCTTAAAAACCTGGATAAAATCAAAAAGCCTAGACCTCAAAATGCATCCGAGTCGTTGTATTAGAATTAAATTGTACCGTGTACAGGGTGGATCAATGATTTTGAGAAAATTTTATCTTGAAAATACAATTAAATATAAACTTAAGATTCTAAATTCTAACATCAGTTTAATGAGAAAAATTAAAAAATGCTCTCATTGGATATTAAATTTTATGTTAACATAAATGTTTGAGTGCTTGAAAATTAGCTTTTTGACATTTATCTTATTACTTCTATTTTTGACATTAAAGGCTGCACATCTCTTTGACTCATCCTGTACATGATTTTGAAATAAATTTAATATTAGTTTGCATCCGAATATGATTGCAAGTTTTATAAAAATAAATATTTTCTTAAGAATTCATTGGTCATCTTAGTGTATACAATTTTTTTCTAGACTAGTTCTACTATACGTTTTTGACAATAAAAATTTAAAATTCTAAACATATACTTTCTTCATACCTATGTTTTGATTTTATCACTATCTAAGAATTGGATTTTTAATCATCCTAAAAAAATGGACATAAAAATTTCTACAAGAAAAAATTTTGGATTACAAGTGGTGGAAGCTTCTGAAATATCTATACTATCTATACTCTTATCTAAAAAAGTAAAGAGTGATTCACAAAAAAAGTTTGTTATACCCACATGGATATTAGCTTATCTACTCACACAAAAAAGTATACTATTACGAATATATTTCATATCCATAACTGTGTGAAACAACCATTGAGATAGAATAAAGAGGAGATGCTATCACAATGCTAAAGTGACTGGTGACTGCACCTTTGCATTATATTTTCACGTCATATGTCAAACTCAAAATAGTGAAGCTAGTCAATTTGGGTGAGAATAAATGCAATTTTTTGTAAATAGCTTCATTTAAATGATATAAAATCATTTTCATTCCGTCAGTCTTCAAATATAAAATTATTGACTTCAATAGGCATTTTCGGAAACCTATAGATAACAAATCCAGATTACCCGATGGATTACGTGGATCACTGAACTTAGTTCCGACAATTTACGAACGAGTTGGATTATTGATCCTGTTTATCTATGGCTGTCAATCTTTCACTTTCCCCTCTATTTGTTAAAGAACCATTTTAATTAAACATATTTGTAATCTGAATAATAAAGTCGCAATATGAGCATAAAGATTACAAGTTATAACTAATTGAATGTAGAAAAAACTTCAAATCTACTACTGGCAGACACCAAACACAAAAAATTGCGTTATCCCTTTACAAAATCATGCGGTGCGCTCGAGGATCTATTACTAATCTACTCGTAGAGTGAGTCACAAAATATTGATCTCGATCACAAAGCTGGATCACTAATTTACTAGTTTCCGAACACGGATAAGGTTAGAAACCATAGGTAAATGAACAATAGGATCCATAATATTTCTGATCCGAGTAAGTTTCCGAAAATGCCTAATTAAATCAAAGTTCGACTCAAGTCACCATTTTCATTACATTTTTCCGTCACTTGAAGTGCGTCCATCTGTCATATCGCAAAATAGTGTTTATGTCGTCTCTACTTTTTTCTATCTCTATGGAAAAAACCTTTACTTGAATTCAAATCTGTTATAAAGAGTAAAGTGACTTTTTGCACTATTATAATCAATCGTTATTTTTACGTAAGAAGCAACATAATATGTACTGTTAAAATATAACGTTTAAGGTTTATATGGACCCCCGGAAAAAGTATTTACACGTTCAAAATTTTTGAAAAAATTTGTGAATGTAAATACAACTTTAAGTATTATTTTACCAAAATTTGATCCGGTTTGTATCATTGGTTCTCAAGAAAAATCGGAAACTTTACTTTTTTACAAGTATAAAACAAAGAAACTAGAATATCAAGAGAGATCATTATTTCATAAAATAAATTAGTTTTGGATAAGAACATACATTTTTTGAAAATTTTTGAACTTACAGAAATGACGTAATTGAAGAATATATATATTTTATTCACAAAAATTAGATTTAAACTATCAAAATGAATGTATTATTATAGAATATACCTTCAATAATTATAATTAAAGACAGTGACCTCGAAACATTAATACGTTTTTTTATAAATTTAGTGAAAAATTCAATTAAACAATAACACTATTTTTAATTTCCTCTTTCAAAGCCTTATCTCTGAGAGGTGCTGCTATCTCAATTAGTACTTTCTAAAATTGCTCACAGATAGCACTAAATTTCCTACTCAAACAGAAATTTCGCATGTCTGCGTACACAAACGCTACAGTGTTGCCAGATCGAGTTGTATTACTAAGTTCGCTGGATTAAATAAATATTTTTTTATTAATAATTCGGTCGATGCAAACGTATTAATTTTACAGAATATTTGAATTATTTAATTATTAATTGAAAGGTGCATTCTGAATGATGCATGTGTTTTATCAATTAAAAAAGTTGAACAGATGTTTACCAAATACCCAATTTTAACAAATTTTCTTGCAAAGTGTTATGTCCCTTGCTAATAGATGTAGTAGCCAGAAGATTTATCTTTGAAGTTTCTTTATTTGTGGTTATTGATTTCGCATATCCACAATTGGAACATTTAAAGAATAATTTTGAATTTAATCCTATACTGAATTCTCTGACAAATGCTAAATAACCAGTTTTTTGTTATGCAACATTTATGACTTTTCAGTGATCTTATATCACCAATGAAATGACGATTCGTCTATCAGAGATGAAAAATGGATACAACGTCATTGTATTAGCACTTTGCCCTATACGGGAATTTTCAACGAAAATTATCCACTCTAAATAATTTTAAAGGTGAGGCTTTCATGAAAAAATACAAGAACAAGTCGAAAATCATATAAAGGGACAATTCTGCTCATGGTATACTCGTTGTAACTTTCACGGTCTCCTCCCCATGACCACTCTTCTTTTTTTTTTTTTTTTTAATGAAACACCCTATATATTAGTAAGACAATAACTCAAAATCAATTCCATATAAATTAATTTTAATAAGTTAAATGACAACCGGTTTTGGCCTTAGGACATCATCAGGTCTAAAAATTAAGTGATAAGCGCTTACAAAACACTACTAGGATGTCCCCATAAAAAGGTTAAAAAAATACACGTGCATGATTAAAACCGAGCCCCAACAAGGGTAAGGTAGTTGTAAGAAATAATATCATATGTGGGACATGTTGATAAATGTGAAAATATGGCGATGAATAGTGTTAGCCTATAAGTTTCTTTACGCAAACCTTTTTTCAACTTGTACAATTTCTATCATATTTCCCACACATGGTATCTCTTACAACTGCCTTTTTAATCATACACGTGTGTTTTTAAAATATTTTATGGAGACGTCGTATTATATTGTAAGCGCTTATTACTTTATTTTTAGACCTGATGATGGCCTAATCCCGAAAACGGTTGTCATTTAACTTCATAAAATTAATTTACGTGGGATTGATTTTGAGTAATTTTCTTACATTTAAGGTACATATCAGTTACCTTGTAAACTATCACATTTTTCTACTCTTTTGTACTATTCGATTTCAAAAATGTATACTTGGGTAGCTATTCTTGAATTCGAAGGAAGCGAAAACAGGTTTTTTATCTTTATCTGCAACGTACAAAATTTGTATGTTTGTCTTATTTATCCCTCAAAATTTCTACTCCCTGAAATTCAAGAATAGATACCTGGAGGTGTACATGAAATCGATTGAAAGTTGCATTTCTTGAGCTTTTGTTTACGTTCTTTCTTTCTTTCTTTCTTTCCCTTTCTGTCTATTTTTTCTTTCTCTTCTCACTTAAAATTATGGATAGTTTTCATTGAAATTATTTAATATTCATTTTATTATTAAATAGTACCTAACCATAGCGCGCGAACGTATCCTCCAGTCAATTTTTTTTTATTTCAATTTTTTGACTGCGCGAACTGAGTCCATTCGCCAAACCACATAGATTATATTATGTTCTAATTTTATACCATATTTTAAGGATAATACGCTCACCCTAAATAATTTTATTTCAGTAAAGTTCATAGTTGAGAATGATTTAGAGCAGTGGAAGACTTAACAAAAGCTCGCCAGGTCATATCCATCTCTTAGCTGGATCGCTTGGGCCGTCCGCGCTCAACACCTCACCTCCCGCGGCTTACAATATAAACAAATAAAACATAATTATATTGAAGTTTGGCAATGTTCTTCGTATCGAATAATGAGGATTTCCCGCGTAATCTATTATTGTGCTAGCCAGAGATAAGGGACATAAAGATTGGAAACGCAACGACCGCAGCAACGATGACGTCATCTAGCGTCTCAGATGTTAACTACCGGTCTACGTCGTTTGTAGAGAGACCAGTGTTGCCAAATATTTTTTTTGAGATCGTATAAGTAGAGTAGAAAAATGGTATTTCGACAAGAAAATTGTACAATAGATACATGCATAGCATAATATAACTTAAATGGAATGACATAATAATTTCTTTATCTATTTATAAAAATGTTTACAACGAAAAAAAAACTAAAGAAAATACATGAAACTTTAAATTAACACATTTAAAGTAATCTATGACTGTCACTTGAAAGTGTTTGAAATTTTGCATGCCAGCTTTTCTTATGCCGTGATAGTCAGTGTACAAAATCACCGTGGTCAAAATCACGATAAGTCAGAACGAAAATGACTGCTTTCAGAAATTACGAACGGCCTATGAATCTTTGCAAGTAGTTTTTGATTTTTATTGTTTTATATTCTAAAGTTGTTGCAGATATTTAAATAAACCTACTAAAAAAGTGAAGATCATATTTTTACGTACGATCTCACTGATGCAATCGTACATCGTACAGAGAGTTAAAAAATCGTATAAATACGATTTAAATCGTACGGTTGGCAGCACTGAGACAGATAGTAGACGTGAACAGCAGTGGACAGTTTGTAAATATAAATGTCAGTTTTATGTATATCGAAGAATCCTGAATTTAAATTTTGAGTTCATGATTGTGTTATCCTCTAGATGAACTAAGCGAAATAGTTGTGGCTGTTTTTGTGTGAAATTTAAGGACAATAATTATATTTTGTATAATTACAATAAGTCGGAGAACGTATTGCATTAGTAACACATGCCACATGAACAAATCTAACAACCCCAATGTGGCGTTCTTTAATTAACCAAAATAGGTAAGATCTATTCATGTAAGTAACACAAATAGTAATAAACTTTTGTCACAAAGTAGGTGTTTATGTATTATTTATTGTTATAGAACAAGAAAATGGCTTCAAAACGTTAGAAAGAAGATTTGATATATAGGAAGAAAAATATCTGAATTCCCATTATTGAATTTGCACTCAACATTTTTAAATACCAAAATAAAAACAAAAATGCAGTGTTACAAATAACAATCTAAAATTAAAAAACATTTGTCGAATATAGATTTACAATAATTAATCGATAATAAGTGT